CAGACAACCCCGTAACAATATGCGTTTTGTACTGCTGTTACACAGCACAAAACGCATAAAAAAACCTGAGTGGTAGCGCTTGTCAATGGTAATCATTCTTTGGCATGACAACTGTTGACTGTTTTTTCTAAGAGATGCATAAAATTAAGCTGAAAACTATTAATTTCTTATTTTTTTTTTTAACTCTCCAACATCTCCCAGTACCTTTATCCAACAATAACGTCATTCAAATCAAACTATTACCTATATGCATCTAACAGAAATGCTAGGCGTCAATCGTACAACGTGGCATGTCCTACGCCGATTATAACCAACCAAACAAATAACTAGGAGTACGTGGTAGTTCAGTATGCCCACCTAAGACGAAACAGAGGGCTAGTTACTGCATTGCTTCAGTAGGGCTCTAAATCCCTTTGGGCTAAAAATTCTTAAGCTAAAGCACTAGAAGCAAACAGTTCAGCAAGTAAGTACAAAAATACTGAGACAGGGAGGCAATGTGACAAACATACCTTCGATTCTCGCTAATAAGATCTTCGCCTTCAACCGCCGCACTTTCCAGGCTGGCCTGTAAATGCAAAATTTTCAAAAATTTCGCAGCATTAGGAACTTCGAATTTCCAGCAGACAAGCCTCAATTCAAATACTTTTTCGCATATTCGATGAGCAAGACATTTACTATACTAAAATACTCGACGTGGAAGATTCAAAACAAAAATTCAGCTAAATGCATCAGCCCCCCTTTTTAAATTTGCAGGTTGGTGAAGGACCCTTCGAAATTAATGGGCCAAATATACTTCAGTGTCTAAAAAGTCATTCTGCACTTCCGCAAAATGTTCCTTGATGGTCGATAACTGTGCCGTAGAGAAAACCCCCTTTTTGGATGTTTTCGTGCAAATTTCTCGTTCAGTAAAATCACATTTTTTTTTAGACTTCCTACCAAACGAATGATGTGCAGGAGAACCAATTAATAATGGTACATGAAAAAATCTTGCAGCCATGAAAAATGATGCACAATGAGCACGAAAACCTGCGTAGAAAATCCTTTCAAATAAAAAAATGGAGCAAAACCTCCTACGAACAGAAAAGCTCTCATACAAAGATTGTTATTAGAAAAAAAAGAGCATCCCGCAGGCAACTGGCCCCGATAATCTTATGAAATTTAAGATTCTAAACTCTTCA